TTCCTGCTACAGGAGAGTAAGTGTCTCTTTTACAATTTTTGTAGCTACCTTTTTTTGTATATTGAAGCTTTTTATGGTATTGCTGGTTATTCTTTGATTTCTCTTTAAGGATTGTTCTTACACAAACAAAAAGAAGACACTGTTTCCCAAACCAAAGCATCTGCAACGGTAATAAATCACTTCCTTCTGAAAAATTCTCAGGCCCTTGGTTCTTCCTTGCATTGTGCCTGCAGCATTTTGTTTAGACAGACTTACATATTTAAGCAGAATTTCGTATTCAAAGAAGCCATTTTTACTGTGTCATCCTCTTGCTTGTTTGTGCCCTGTTGCTTCCCAGCAGAGGACAATGCTTGACCCCACCACCATAACTGGGAGCAGCAGAGCTAATGAATTGGTTCCCGTGCTGTAGCTGGAAATTCCCAATGGCTGATAGGTTTGCAGAACTGATTCTTGTCAATATATGAAATACAAACACACTTACCAAGTTACACCATGTATTTTTTTGCAGTTGCTAAGATGTTTTGATTTTTTCAGATCTGCAGTCTCAGGTAGAGTTTCAACTATAGCAACTTAGCAACAACTTTTTAAAATTCTCTGAAGAAGTCAGCCCGGGTACAGCTTCCCATACTCATAGCCACTTAAGTGAAAATTAACCATCAAATCCTGAAAATAACTTCTTTTAATTATGGAAAAAGTATTAGATGCTATACATCTACTTTGGACAAGCGTGTTTGAAAAACTCATTCTTCAGCAGACTACCTGCATTGCAAGAAATGGATGAGCTGGTGATATACAAAAATGTGTTTCCAAATGATCTTTTAAGGAAAAAAAAGAGATTTACCCATAAAAACTTTCTATGATTAAGGAAGGAAGGATATATTACAAGAAAATGTCAGCACCAAAATTAAGGAGATTTGGTTGTGTTGAAGTTTAGTTTCACATTGTTAACTGATGCACCTGCGAAAGAGCCCTGGCTGTGACTTGCATGGAAGCCCTCTTACTGCCAGTGGGCATGATGGTGATCTCACACCAGAGTAAGTCAAGGGTGTTTGTGGGTGCATTCATGGCACAAGAAAAGTGTGGAAACAGCACAACTCAGAACCAAATCCATGCTTGGTCACTGATTTAAACATGTGAGAAGTTTATAGCAAGGTACTGTCTGTATGTTTTCGTGCCCCTGTGAGACAGCAGTGAAGAGCCTTCTTGCAGATGATCCATTGCCTTACTGAGCTCAGATTGCGGAAGAGACTTGACTGGTGTCAGCATAGCTGGGTATCAAAAACAGTTTTGTCAGGGCAGGGACTATTGCAGCGAAGGGTGAAAGCTAGGCAGCAATGTCTGTAGCTGTAGCAAGAGAAGGTTCAAACATCCCTAGAACTAAAAAAGAGCAAGATAAATTTTGGAGCCTCAGCTTTTCTGAGGGATCTGAATATCAGGGTATCTGAAGATTTTGGCTTAGTTCTTTGCAGATGTCACAGCCCTGGGATGTTTATACTGCCTTGCCATAAAACACAACCCTTGGATACCCTTGCTTTGTTTATTGTTCTAGAGAGGGAGCTCCACAGAGTTTTTGAGCTCAATTTACCTTATTTTTCGGCTTGACAGGTATTTAGAGAAGACAATCCGCTCAGCCGTGGAACAGCATCTCTTTGATGTTCATGGCTCAGGCGGCCAGAGTTCAGAGGACTCTGAATCGGGAACGTCTTCAGCCTCTTCTAATGTGTCTGCCAGGCAGAGGAGGCGACATCACAAAGAGCAGGAGGAAGCCCGGAGAAACAGAGACATGTACGAGCCTGATTTCTTTTTTTTGGGAAAGTATATTTGATTTAAGTGTACCTTAGCCATGTCCTCTTATCAGAGCAATGCTTAGTTCTGTTACAAACTGCATGGCCCTTCCCCTGAGTTGAAAGGGCAGAGCAGACTGCAGTGCCAGTGCACAACTCCACTGGATAAGTTAGAGCAGGGAAATGTAGAGCTTATTAGAGGTCATGCAGTGGGGCAAAGCATTATAAGAATCCATTTGTTTTGTTGGTTGTTTTTATTTTACTCAGTATAGTATTTAATTACAGTATTTGGATTTTAATTACAGTGTTTATTGCTTTAGTGTAAATTCCCAAGTAGTTGGCCCTGTTGCCTGTAACTTTCTTTAGATAAAAACATTGGGTTTAGATGCTTTTCTGAATTCAGAATGTCTGCACAAATGAGATTGAATTCCCCTTCAGCATGTGAAGGGGATTTATTGAGGAGACCAGGGAGCTTGTCTGAAAGTAGAAGAATCTTCCTTTTGATTAATGAAAATTTAATAATTTTTATCAACCCTGTTACACAAAGTTTAAACATGATTTAGTGGTGAATTTCATTAAATATCTGTCAAAGAGTAAAAATAATATCTATTTTTTCTTTCATACTCATATAATTGTGGCAATTATTGTGCAGTACAAATACCACCACCACAGTCTTAACACTTGCCCTGGGCATATAACTGTCTTAGAGGAACTGTAACTAAAGACTTGGCAAGGCTTACACATATGTCTGGCTTTACTAGTTCTTGTAAAGAATGCATATACTTGACTGTAGTACTGGATTGCTGGACTTTCAGGTTAGATTCTGAAATAAACACTTAGTCTCTTGTTTTTTTCCTGGGTGCTGAATTCCCCAAATCCTACTGGATCTACACCTTCCTAGATGAAACCGCTTTTATACAGGTGCATAACCATCAGTACCTCTTGTTAGTATTGCAGCAATGCTGTTTCCTAAAATGTGTCAATGCTACTGTTGTAAAAAAAAAATCCATAGTTGCAAAATAGAAAGCCGTTTCCATAGTCAATGAAATAGGCAGTGAAGATGGACTGGGAAATTAGCACTTGCAAGTCACCAAAGTATCTGACGAGAGCTCTGAAGTAGTTTTTCTTGTTCAGTAGCCCCACTGACAGGCTTCTCAGGTAAGTAGGTCAGAGACTGGCTAGTGTACGTGTTCAAAAGCATATAGTTCTGCAGGGCTTTCTTTCTACATTGTGTTACAGAGCTTCCTTTAGGCAGGTTTGACACAGTTCAGGGTTGGTCCGTAAAGCTGTAGCCAAGGATTTGAAATCACATTGGAAGTTTTGAAAGCTGGCTGGGTTTCAGATTGTTTTCCCTGGTTGCCTTAGGTCAGATTGCTGGAACACATTTGGATGAATTATCAAAATTGGGAATTCCTTTCAAAACTCCTTTCCGTTGTTATTGTTGTTTTCATTGTCAGTAACTTCATTGCCTCGCCTTGTGATTGATCACAAGAGGATTTGTAATGTCACAAGACAGAGCTTATATGGGAAAAGTGTTTATCGCAAAAAAAAATGTGTGAACTCCCAAGCTTTGCAGGCTACATAATCTACAGACTATGTATATGTAATTGGTCTGCTCAGGGGATTGTAAAAAAGTTCACAAAGGCAAATGTGTTATCTTAGGCGTTTAATCAGAGATCTGTAATACCTCTTTGTATCTCTCCTCCACTAACAAAACCTAGAGATTTGGGATCTAGACAATCACTAAAACTTTCTGGTTTTCTTATTCATCTGAATAATTTATCATGCTGGCACTGTCCAGATCCTACAGAGTATCTGGTTTCTTGTCACACTAGTGCAAGTCTGCATAAATTCTCCTGTGGTCCATGAAAGGAGGCTTTGGAATCACCCAGCACTGGATGAGACAGCTTCACGTTGAACAGTTAGCAAACATTTCAGTTTCGATGTCAAGTGTAAGCAGCCTGCCTGTAGCCTTTGGCTGATGGCTTAAAGATAGCTGTTCCAGTGACTTCCCAACATAGCAGGACAGTTCTCTGCCTTAGCAGTTGTGTTGCCATTGCAGATACATTCCCTTTTCTATTTTGTGTATTTCCCGAATAGGAAATTAAGCATTTGGCTAAAGCACCACAGTCCTGTGCTTATGTTTGAGAATATGAGTAAGAGGGCCAATTATGTGGTGTCATGCACCAAAGGAGATCCTTGGACTGCAGCTGTGAATCACTTTTCTAAATTAAAAGCACATGTCTCAAAGGAAAGTATGCTGTGTATTCTCTACACAAATACCACAGCCAGGAGCTAGCCATCTTCCACGTGAAGTCAGTGGGATTCTCTGTATTGGTTTTAGTGGGAAGTGAATCAAGTTCCAAATACTGATCCTCACAGCTTCCTCACCTGAGGGGTGCACACCTGGCTTTCACTCCTCAATAGGATCTAGTAGTGCGCAGTGTGTGGTGTTTGCTGCAGTAGGAAGAACCAGAGATACTGGTTTTGTAGAGCGTAGATGATGTTGCCGGAACCGCACCAGTCAGCATGTTGTGCCTCTCTATTGCTGCCATAAATGTAGCGGGAGAGTGCTTTAAGCAACCTCTTGTAATGTCCCTTTCCTTTTTAGGGAAGTCGTCAACAAAGAAAACATTCCTTCTGGATTCAGCAATCTTGAAGACTGTATTCTAGCTGCTCAAGAAGTAGAAAAATTACAAGACAACAGCTCGTATCTTAGTGAAAGGAATAAACCAAAACGGCAGAAATCCAGCACCAAGCTTTCAGAGCTTAATGACAACCAGGACAGTCCTGTGGTAAGCCATCATGCTGTGCTATTTCATGCCTACTACCAGGGTGGGAAAAAGTCTCTTTTTAATTCAGTGGACATCTCATTCCCTTTGGTAGCCATTTTTGCTTATACAGGAATACATGTCTGTTTTGGACTATGTGGAACACTAGATTACACTTAGAACCATCCATAGTTATTTTGTGTTTCCACATCTTTTTTTGCTTTTTCCTCTAAATTCAGCAAAGCATTTTGGAAAGAGAAAAAAGGAAGTCTCTTTCCCAGTCTTTCAAAAGTCGTGCAAAGAGGTTGGAACCTCAGATGGATGTTTACCTGTTTAGGTCAAGTTTATTTTTATGTTCCTTCTAAGTTCTAAAACTGTAGATCAGAACTGACTTCTTGTTAATAAGTTGACAAAGGTGTTTTATGCCTTTACCCTAAAGTCTGTTACTGTAGTGTTTACAATTTGCAAAACACTTTGGAGTGTGTCAGTCCAAAAGTTAGCTAGCTTTTACTGAGGAGGTAAATGACAGCAAGTGAACATCCTAAAATTCTGGAATAGTGTAGAATTTGTCCAACATACTCATGTGAGACCTTCACAGCAGAAGACAGTTTGCCAGCTTTTACAAGCTGTAGAATAAAACTGATGCAACCTCCTACCCTCTCAGCAGGACCAGACACTGATTATAGTGTCAGCAGTTGAGAAACGGTGCTGTGCTTCATCACAGGTTCTGCTTGCAGAGGTAGACCTGCTTGTGCATCCTGGTGCCTGGCAACAGGCATGCCTTGCATGGTTAGTAGTTACAGTGAAAGCTGTGTGAAAAGTTGTCTTTCCAAACTATAGGGCATTTTTTTCAGTAGTTCTTGATTAAGTTTTAGAGCCTGCTGTGAGCATCTTCTTAATGTAACATTGTGTTGGGACTCATTTTGTTTAGGTTACAAAATAGCAATGATCTGATGCTCTTACACTGTGCAGAGGTTCTAGATGAGACAGATTTGGCTTTTCTTTGTGATAAAAATAAGGCAAGATGCAAAAAAAATTGTAGGCTGTGCTTAGATTTAGTGCTCTTTCAGGACCCTACTCGTGATGCTTCAAGAAAGAGCACAGAGAGGAGACATGGTCTCACTTTGCTTTGTAGCAATGGACTTAAAGATAGGCAAAGGCCAGGTGCTTACACACTTTTCTGCCGCTCTTCTGTGTACCTGTGGAGTAGAAAGCAGTTTAAATGTAAATGAGAATTTTACTCAGGATTTGAGAAAGACTGACAGAAGCGTCTGCTTTTGCTGTGGACCTGAAAAACATTCATGAAGTCTTAAAACATGCCCAGAAGAAATATCTTCAGACTTAACTGTATCCACTGGATTTTGCCCTGCTTCTCAGTTTTGGATCTTTTCATGGACAAAGACTGAAAGGAACACTAAATGGATTAGCCCTGTTCAAAAAGCACTGTGACCAAGATAACCATCAGTGTGGTTCGTGCTTTCTTTGCTAGAGGAAGTGTCGCAGTGGGCTTGTCAGCTGGGAATAGTGTTATGAAACAGCTGGCAGAGAGCATGGTGCTCCTCTTTTTGAAGAGCAAAAGCTGCTTTTTAAGTTTTCATGATTGCACTTATTCATTTCAGAGATTGCCAGTGGGATATGTGGTGGTTTAGCTTTCTTTTGGCTACATCTTTACATGTCAAATAATAACACAAATTAGACTACCTACCTGGAGTATCAAAGGACATAACCTGCACACCAGCATTTACTAATAGGCCTTTGTCATGTAAACGTGTTTGTGATGATGTATCTTATTAGTCACCATTTTCTGAGCCTTCCTGCTTTTGAATGCCTGAAAGGGTATGTAGGACAGTGTGTGGAAGCTTTCCTCTTAGCTGTCTAATTGCATCTGACTGAAAAGCGTAAGTCAGCAGTGGAAAACCTGTCAGTTCCACTTACTCTCCCAAGCAAACCAACCACAAAGCATTAAAATCTTGTAACTGCAGTTCTGAGAGACATGGTAGCCATCCACCAGTAGGACTTGATGAATCACATTAAGCAAGTCTGGAATGACTGAGCTGTGCCACCTTATGGGGCTTAAGTTGTAGCAGGTGAGAGAGTGCTATGGCTGCCCCAGGAAGCCTGTGCATGCAGTTTCCAGGGCCGGGGCAGAAACCACGCTCCATTCTGCTGACTGACTTCCCCCTAATTAAGAGGGACTTGCCCAAAAAACAGGGTTAGAATACCTCCTGGACTTGTGCCTGAAGTGACAACATGACATGTCTTCATATGTACTTTCTTAAGCTGTTACAGGACAACAGTGTTAATGTTTCTAATGTAAGTTACAACAAATTTCAGAACAAGTTGTCGTAACCAGTTGTATTTCTTCCCCTGCATTCC